GGGCGCTGAAGGTGGCCAGCATTAGTTTGTCGTTTGTGATAAATATGTGTATGTATAAATAATCCGTACGCAGTTGCTCTGTGTGCGTGGGTTTGAGTTTGCAGAATAAAATGCTGTTACTTTCATCAATAAATGAATTCTGTTAATCTAATCTTTTTGTGCCAAAGGATTACCAACGCTCTAGCAGAACAATGACAAAAATTATAAGAGAACACCTTATAAATTTCAATTTTTGTTATTGCCAAGTGTTGAGAAACTTGTTAAGAGCTGGTATGCACTTGGAAACTTGTTAAACAGTAAGCTCTTTTATTTTGAATGATTTCCTCATATTTCAGTTGTTTACAACTTACAAGCCTTGATATCTCGGCCCACTTCAATATGCTCGGCCCGGTTTGATACCTTCGTTTAAGGAAATTTACATATATAAACTCCATGTAACATACATTTACATATACACGAATTGTATAAACTAAAATCAAAATNTAAATCAAAAATAAAATAAGTGATGACATCATTCCACTACAACTTAATTTTATATATTATTTTATTATTTCTCTCTCTACTACTAGCTTTTTTTAATTTTATATATTTTTCTTTCTTCTTGGTTTATGTTTTTTATTGATTTTTTTTTTTTTAATAGTCCTGTGCCATAGTTTTGTTCTATTTTGCTTTTTTGGGGATAAGCTATATATAATCTTTCTTTCATGTGTCCTTTCAATGATAAAATAATTTTCAGCTTGCAAGAATTTGTTAATCTTCTTTTCCCAAACTTAGAGTAGTCCTGCATTCAGTCCATTATTAGGTTAGTTGGTTAAAACCGATACTGGCAATAACGTTAAATTTTAGTGGCTTGGAATTATTTTATGGGTTAATTGCAAGAAAAACCCCCACCTTTTGTTAAATTGTACGAAAAACTCAACTTTTTTAATTTTGTACATAAATACAAATTTTTTTTAAGTTTTGCAAGATTGTCTCAAAATTGACTTCCGACCATTAGTTCGCTGACGTGGCCGATCGAAAAAATGACGTGGCACTTAAATTCAATAGGTTGTACCAGTCATCAGCCACGTATATTTCCACATCATATCTGCTCCACGTCACCCTCCACATCACTCACCCACAATATATCCACTTCTTCATCAATTGTTCCCCATTTACACAAAGAANAGAGGAGAGTTCTTCCCAGCGATTCCCTTCTTTCTTCAAATGAATTACATAACAGGTATCCTACTTCCAATTTTCAATAGCCACAAAAATTATGTACAGTAGCTGGAAAACGCACTACCAACGGGACCATATGACCAAAAATTTGAAATCTCCATCAAAAAATTGAAAAAAAATCATAACACAGCGGTAACTGAAGGATTTACCCCAATTCTTCCAACGATTTACCCCAATTCTCCACCTTCTTATTTCGATACACGGTGGCTGAAGGATGGCTGACCGAATCTCCGTACGGCTGACTCTTGCAGCTCAGATCTATGGTGGCCCGTCGATAGAGAGCAACAAGCAGCTCTGGGAATCAGCGCCGGCGGCGCTACGGGCGCCGTCCAGATCTCGCAGTTGGCCGGAACTCGCGAGTCGAGGTAGACTGTGGCTGGCAGGCCCGCTGACCGTATTAATTTGGTTTTATCTAATTAGGGAGAGGGTGACTTATTGATTTTTGATGTGAATAGCTTGATTATTCTCAATGGAGTTAGATCGCGTGCCCGTGGAATGAATGGAGAAGAAACCTCGTCGCTCATCGTTGTCTTCTTTTCTTTTTGTCTCAGATGTCTACGAATAAGGGAATGGGGAAGAATTTCTAGATCGTAAAATTATATTACAGTAAAATGACATGTAGTTGGGGGTGTGATGTGTACATACACGTGTCTGATGACGTGGCACAAGCTATTAAGTTTGATTGCCACGTCATTTTTCCGATCGGCCACGTCAGTGGCACATTGCCGGAAGTCAGCAATGAGATATGATTGCAAAAATTTTAAAAGGTTTAGTATTTTGGTGCAAAATTAAAAAAGTTAAATTTTATATGAAAAATGTTAAGATTGTTTTGACAATTAACCCATATTTTATTGATGTACCAGAAACAGGGAGTTCGTAAATTTGTCCATGGATTATATTACATTAATCACACCAATATGCATAGCAGAATCTAAAACACCAATCATTGTTTTCCTTCAACTAAGAGCTTCAAGCACAATAGCTTTAGTGTATTATCATTATCAACATTCTTTATTAGGATTTACTAAAGAAGACTTACGACTTATCAATACATTCTTTTTACTTGGCAATGACTTATCTTGGTTGTTGTCGAAGATAGGCACTTGAAAAGGAAAACCGAAGTTATTCATCCTTGACCATAACGAAAGATGAAGGTAATCAAGGTTGCATGTAAAGCTCCATATTTATGTTCTCTTGGAAAAGATGTAAAGCTCTTATCTTTTTGTTGGTATCAATATAATTTTCTTAGTATAAATGTTGGGGGTCGGATAGTTGATGAATTTGGGTAGGATATAAAAGGTAATGGCCTTTCTTCTTTAACACTAGGATAGGAACAAAGGATTTTGATTGGTTGTTCTTTTGTTTTCTTCATTCCTCACTTTGGTAATGTTGAGTACATATATATATAGGCAAAATGAGGCAGTGGTAAATATCTAGATTTTTCATTCTATCTTGCCGCCTTTGGCCTTTTTACTAATCTTAATGTCTAAGCATTTTCTTTTGTTTTCTAGATAATTCTACAAGTCTTTTAATTTCTAGAATTTTCTCTAAAATAAGCATTACTTTTAACCAGTGTTTTAAATGCCGGTATGGCCACCGGTATGCGGTATTACCAGACCGGTAATATCGGTAGTATTACCGGATTAGCAAATATAATGATATATATATTTATATATAAAAATGTATTATACCAAATGCAAAAAAATAAAAAATAAAAATAAATGACCATAATCATTAATTTTAACTTACCAATGATATAAAAATAAAATATTCTAACTACCAATTTAAATTTTATGTTTTTAAATTAATATTATTTTTTAAATTTTTTAATTTTTTTTTTAATGACCGGTATTTTGGACCGGTTTTTTCCGGTTATTACGGTATGATCCCAGTACAAATTGGTATAACCGTAAATCCGGTATTCTGTGTACAATTGTATCGTATCAATGGCCGGTATCTGGTATTACCGGCCAGTACGGTACGGTATTGAAAACAATGCTTTTAACACTCCCCCTTATGCTCATTTGTATAATTCTGAGCTTTTCTTGCAATGTCTCGAATTTTGGTCTCGGCAATTGCTTGATTGCACCTTTGTAGCACTTTGACTTTTGTTGTGGTGGTTTTGAAACTTGTCTTTGATGATTGTGTATGCTTGCTTCTCCTGCTGGTGTGATTTTCGATATTTTGCTTCAACACTTGACACGACTATCTCATATTACTCACACAACTCCCCGTCGGGTGGACTATTTCAGATCTGCATCTTTCGACGGGAGGACGTGTACTGAACACGACTATCTCATATTACTCACACAACATACCTCGATCATAATATCTTGTGACTATAAGGAATAGAACGCAATATAGAATCCCCACCTCGAAATGTAGAAGTCACCGATGAAATGCTTAAGGTTGAGAGCTCGACTACTTAAAATCTACATAACAAAGAATTTACTTATCATAAATATTAACTCTTGACTTAACTAGTTAATCATCTCTCTTAATGAATTCTTAATATAACTTCATAAATTAATTAATTAGCTTATCTAATTAATTAATTTCCTTGACATCTTAAATTAATTAATTAGTTTTTTCTAATGAATTAATTTTCATATCTTCTTAAATTAATTAACTAGATTTTCTAATTAATTAATTTTCTTAACTTGATTAATCAAATTAATTAACTTTCTTAACTTAATTTATTTAATTTCTCTAAGTAATCTTCATAATTTCTACGCTCATCTAAAGTCTCAGATTAAGGGGGTGATTGGATATGAATTCAACTAGTAAAAAACTAATTTTTTTTTTAACTATAGTTAAGTTTGAAAAAAAGTAGTATGGTTAGTTGTTAGTGGATATATTAAAATAATATTTAAATTAAAATAATTAAAGTTGATTTGATATAAAAGTAGGAGAAAATGATTGGAAGTGATGGTTAGTTAAAATTATATGAGTGTGTGAATAGTGAATTAAACTTTATGTGATGTGTAATAATGATTTTTTGATATTATTTAATTATATTGATAATATTGGAGATAGTGGAGTTGAGTTAAATTTGAGTTTTGAGTGAGATATTTACTGTAGAAAATATAAACAATCACACCCTAAATATCTCAAAACTCACTAAATTGAATTCTTTTAGCCCGACCAATGCTCGACTTCAAAATACATAAAGCTCAGATATATTACATAGGCCTGATTTAAAATAATTATGACTCGATTTGGCTCAGTCCGGCACGCATGCACGGGCTCCCAGTTCAGTTCAGCTCACTGAGGTGGCTCACACTGGTGCACCGGGGCTGCTGGGCCATGGCTCGGACGCTCCGGGGTCTGCTGGGTCTTAATTTGAAAATCAATGTATTTCATCGCCCATCATCTTAATTATGTCTGATGTAGTAACTTATCACTTGTTATGAAATAATAAAATAATGTATGTGAATGACTATTTTGCCCTCGATGTATTTGTATTATTACAAATTGTGCCATCAGGAGTTTCCTATAAATAGGAGCTTCAGTTATAATGAAAAACACACCTACAAGAATACATTTTCTCTATTATCTCTCTTTTCCTTTTAGTTTTATAACACGTTATCAGCACGAGTCTCTACCTTCTAGAGCTCAATTTGTAATATGACGAGAGTATGCTCTACAGTTGCGTCTTACCGACGATCTTCTGTATCAGAAATCAGATTATTACGAACCATTATCTCTTGGCTCTTTGTCAAAAATTTATGGAAGCATTGAACTTATACACACTCCCCACATTTTTTTTTCTCACCTAATATTTGATTTAGAGTTTTAGATTATGTGAAGATGATTTGTCATTGAAAAAACAAAAGCGGTATCGATAATGAAGTTCGGCAAGAGATTGAAGAAGCTAGTTAAACTGATGTTCATCGGCTTCAAAAATGGCGGTCAGGTCCGAAAGGGGATCTGAGTTTCTGATTTTATGTGCTTGTTGAATAAAAATACAGAAAGTGACGGGTACATGGGGGCCAAATGGGACTCAACCATCAGAGGTGGAGTTCGAAGAGGAAATGGGGAAAATAAGAAAATAAATTGTAAATTTCCATGCTACCATACCTTGGAGTTACTCTTGGGTGCTGAGATTATCAGTACCTTTGCGTTGGTATACACTGTTTTCTCTCAACAAACCACAAAAGAAGTGCAAGAGACTCTCATGTTCCCCGTAAGTTTCTCATCTATATTTCTTAAAACTAATATTATAAAGTTAAATCAACAGTCATCATCACATTCATATAAAATAAGAATAATTATTTAGAGAAGATGAATGCGCTGAGAAAATCATGGCCTTCTGTCAATAATAACAACTACTTTCTTATCTTCAATTATATGATGTTTGGTAAGTGGGCCATGGTCATTAAAGTTAGTGAAACAATTCAACGGAGATAAATGATACATTTAATAAATCTTGGAAGAGAGAGATAAAAATGCCATACAATTATTCAAGTAAATACGGCATGGCATGTGCTGTCCAAACATGGACATTATTATGGACATTATAATGAAACATAAATATAAAATTTCAATTATTCATCAAGCTTCAGATAGATTTTTATCGGATACAAAAAGGCATACATTATCAAAATTGGCGTTTTACAATCTCATAATATTTCATTTAAATAGAGCTTCGATTTAAGACCAATAGTAAGATGATTTATTAAATTGACATTATGAAATGTTTGATTTTGTTCTATTGAGAAAATTATTTGATACGTGAACATGTGGATATTTATGGATTGACCCATGTGATATGAAAATAAATATGTGTGGCTACATAGACTGGTCAGTGCGGCTCTGCCACCGGCAGGTGATATTTAATAGTAGCCGACGGGTCAACTCTGGATTGAAAAAAAAAAAAAAAAATATAAAGAAATATGAACGACCATGTAAAATGGCCAAGCGGTGCGGCCACCGAAAACATGTAGTAAAATATTTAAACGGCTAAATGGTATTTGATGATGTGGAATAGCCAGGTGATAAGGCCATATGCAACAAGTAATATGAATGGCTATATATACATGCGTCGGCCAGTGCGGCTCTGCCGCCGGCGACGGGCAGTACAAATTAAGTGATAGCCGATGAGTGAAATTAATGATACTTTAGATTTGGCCATTTGAAAGTTAATTAAAGTCCTTGTCGTGAACAGACAATATATGGACTTACCTGGTCCTGAAGGAACAATTGATAAATTCTCTAAATTTATTGATGGAGAAACGAATATTGATGATTAAATGATATCTGGTATACTGGTACTTGAAGCTACCATCTTATGATTAAACAAAATGATACTAGTAGCTATCACTGGATGATTGAACAAATTGAAAAAAAAAGAAAGTGGTATCAAAAGCTACCAGTTATGGGTGATCACACAAAATGATTTCTCAATATATTATATGAGTTTAAGAGGATATATCAGATGACAAGAACACATTGAGATACGAGATCATACAGATATTACAATAAAGTGCTCCGGAAGAAGCACAAATGATAATGATTGTAGTCATGAACTACTATACACTGAGAAAAATCGAAATTGATATTATTATTACTGAGAAACAAGTACAAAATGTTCAGATGGTGGAAATATGGAAAAGAGGCAGTAAATACTCGATGAATACAAAATACGCAAAGATTACATAATAGAACCCAATAAAGAAGGGTGCGTCTCGAGAGTGTAAAACTCCGTAACTCTGCCACCCATGAATGATATCTGGGTTCATATTTGAATAATATCTGGGTTCATAATGAGAGATCTAAAGGATCAAAAGCTCTTTTTCGCTTGACCCCTTGTGTTTCCACAGAATCTTGAAATGTGATGCATTCTTGAAGCTTTTTGATAAGTTCAGCAGACGTGTCAGCAGATTTGAATACTTATCTCATTGAAGGAGATATAAAGGTTTGATATACTCCTATGTCTAAAAATCCAAGCAAACCATGAAAGAAGTTATTAAAGTTCAATAGACCTATGGGCTTGTTATGAAGTTTCAATTCTGCCCACAAAGCAATGGTGAACATTGTCATTAGCGTTCCATACCCGCCTGGAAGAATGATAAAAGCATGGCTATTGTTCACCATATCCATCATACAATCATGAATGGAATGAGTTAACATCATGCTTGTGGAATCCTTGACGACCTTTGTTGAAGCTCTACGAAAAGGTATGATACTTTTCACTTCTATCTCAAAACATTGTCCAGCCATTAAGAGACTATCATAGAAAGTATTGCTAGTCCCTCCATACAGCAAATTGATTTTTTGATTCCCCATCTCTTTGACTAACTGACTTACAATATCAATAGTTTGAAAAAAAGTTACCAGTTTAGAACCACCAAGAACACATATGGTTTTGATCGGTTGAAGAAAATTATTACCTTGCGAAGACTCTGAAACATCCATCTATTTATTGATAAACTGAATTTTTTCAAAACTTTGTGAGGCATATGATTATGATGAACGACTCGCTATTTAAATAGAAAGTTTTACAAAGCAATAAATAATTTTACTGTTTTCTTCTGACAATTGCAACTGACAGATAAGGTGTTGGGTTTTAAATAAATCTTATCTGTCGGCAACTATAAGTTTTTCTAGAAAATTACAGTACAACATACTAAACTATATTAGTATGATTTTTCGTACTAACAAGACCAATTTTACAAACTTGATCTTTTGAAATAAGATTTTTGAGACTATAACGTTCTTCTTCACTTTTGAACTGAGTCCATAAAGACATAAGCTCACGATGCACATATCCACTAGGATGTGTCTCAAGAATCTGTTGAATCGTTTGATCCAAAGACTCCTTACTCAATCCATCCTTTATAAACGTTATTTTATCTTCTCGATTTTTGGACACGTACCCCACAGATTTACATCGTGTGTCACAAGTCCATCGAGCGCATTTGAAGCATCCACCTAATCTTTTTGCTCTTCGTTTCTTTGCATAAGTACTTTTACCCATACCTGGCATATATTTATATGAATTTGGAAACTCTCCAGACAATCGAACTTGTGCTTCGATCAACCATCGAACATCATTTGGAATACCATTATTCATTAGTACCCTCAATCTTTCTAGTCGAGATCGATAAATTTTTTTTATGATATTTTTCGGAAGAAAAGAATAATATTTACGGATATTTGAGAGTGCTAAATCCATTTGTAAATTCGGATCTTTGTTAAGGAAAATTGAATGAATTACCTGATAATTTATAGAAAAATATGATGCGTATCGGATACAACTCTGGACTTAAACAGTGTTCAAAAGTATGTGTGTCAGACGGCATGACACGATTCTGGATTTAAACAGTGGCTAAAAGATATTATGTCAGAGCCTACACTTAAAGTGCATTTATTGCCGCCGAAAGATGATGTGAAATGTTTGTGATAAACGTATCACAACGAATTATTGTGATCATTTTAAAAATGTTTGCCGATATTATTGATGATGGTTTGCATGATGAACTTATTCTTTGTGATATGAGATGCTTGTTCTCGATTGGTGAAAAATATTACTAGCTAAATATTTGTGAATCGATATTTGATCAATTTGAGTATGAAAGGGGTACGATATATATGGACCCACTACCCCTCCATGTGTGCTACTAGATATTATGGATCCACTAGTTAGCCACATGTGTGTGATTAGTAACCTGTAATTTCGAGATGGTTTGATCAAAGGATGATACAAGATGATTATGAAATACTAAAAATAAGTGTCATATGAAAGTGATGAAGCTAGTAATATACTCACATGATATGATGAACTCTTGAAAGAAAAATGTGCACATTACAAATGATATGAGTTCAAAGTCCTCTAAATATATGTTGAAAACGAGAACAAAATGGAGACTATATGAACTCCCCTAAAGAAATTCAATACTGAAAATACAGATCAGGGATCTGTTAAGATGAGGGGGAGAATCAATGATTGAAATTTGAAAATGATATATGCATCACACTGAAAGTGTGCGAGTCATAAACTATATGATACTGATGATGGTGAATTATATGAAATGGTATGATGGTTGAATAATACGCTGGAAGCGTTGGTATTGTGCAAATTGAAATTCCCCAAATATGTGATGAAAGGAGGCATATATAAACCATTGATGGAATCAATTGATAATGAGATATCTCAATATACTACGGAGAATAATGGAGATGAATAAGTGTCGACATAAACAAATGAATAGCGCTATATAAATAATATTGTCGAAAATGAAATCAGCTGAAATGTGAATATTGGGAATTATTGGCAATAAGACCATTGAAATCAATTGATGATGAGAATGAGTTTAAGAATAAAAATTGCACAAAGCATGATATGACATTGTCGTGGATACCATCAGTATCTACAAATCCGAAAGAATTTATATGATACTCATGCAAATTATGGAAAGATTATTATGGTGAATATATGAAATACGCGTTGTACTCTTTTTCCCTTGGCTGAGGTTTTGTCCCATTGGGTTTTCCTAGCAAGGTTTTTAATGAGGCAACAAGGATGGCGTATTCACATGAATAGTGTACTCTTTTTCCTACATTAGGATTTTGTCCCACTGGGTTTTTCCTAATAAGGTTTTAACGAGGCATATTCATGGTATGATGAGGACTACTGGATAAATGATATGATTCTTCACGATGATAAGAGATACTGGAGTAGCTGTACTCTTTTTCCTTCGATCAAGTTTTTTCCCACTGGGTTTTCTTGACGAGGTTTTAACGAGGCAGCACATGGATATTCCACTAAAGATGATCTATTTGAGGGGGAGCTATGTTGTGCTTCCACAATGCTCAGGTTTTGTCCCACTGGGTTTTCCTGAAGAAACAATGTTATGATTTCAAGATGATCAGGTTTTGTCCTACCGGGTTTTCCTGACGTGCTGAAGCAACGGTACCTGATGGCCACAAGATACACTTGAAGATATGCAGATTGGGCTTTGTTCAAATCAGTTAAAATATGTTTAGAAAATAGTCATTCAAGGGGGAGTGTTATGAAATAATAAAATAATGTATGTGAATGACTATTTTGCCCTCGATGTATTTGTATTATTACAAATTGTGCCATCAGGAGTTTCCTATAAATAGGAGCTTCAGTTATAATGAAAAACACACCTACAAGAATACATTTTCTCTATTATCTCTCTTTTCCTTTTAGTTTTATAACATCACTCACTTATTTTGACATACTATTTATTTCCTTCATTAAAATCAAATGGTAGTTAGCAACTTATCAAACACTTTTCTCAAAAAGTGAAGTCTCTCTCTCCTGCGATTTTTCCCCAAAAATTAACCTAACCTTCGCCGCCTCTCTTTCGATCGATTTCACCTCCTCCGGCGTCGGCGAGGCCGGGCCGGCGGTCGCCGCGACTGCCTGCCTTGTCCCTGATGCCGGTCTCCCTCGTCTCTGGCTGTATGTGGTGGATTCGGCGGATTGGCTCAAGACGGTCGGTGGGTGAGATTCACGTTCCTTCTCCCTCGTGTGGAGTCCGGCGGCTTGTTGTTTTAGGTGGCTCTGGTTGGGGGAGGTGGTCGCTTGTCCTCGGTGGTTGGGGCCTTGAAGCCTCCCCTCGGTCTTTTGCAGGGAGTGTCTCTGCCGAAGTTCGGGTGTTGGGGAAATCCTCCGGCGCGGTGGCGTTGGGACGGCGGTGGTCAAGGGATGGGGTGGGGCTCCGGTGGCCTGTGATGGTGCTGCAGGAGTAGAGTATGTGGCTGCGAGCAGCCCCTATTCTCCGGTTTTGTTGCGACTTGGTCGGAGTCCGACGCCCCTGCGCAGTCTAGTGGTGTTAGGTGCGCTTGGGGTGTGCCGGTTAGGGGAGGCTCAACAGCCTGTACCCTCGGTTGGCGGCAATTCGTCTCGTGGTTTGGTTCGGGGGCGGGGGTTCGGTTTCTGTATAGGCTTAATTGCAGTTTCGGGAGCTGTTCCTTGGCTAGGGGCCGAACTGTGATTCGGTTGCTGCTTGTTCGGGATCGTCTTTCTTCGGGGGAGGGTGTAGTTATTAGTTATTAGGTGTTTGTGTGTTTTTGTCTTGTTTGCGGTTGTTTGTTATTGTGCATTGTGATTGTGTTTTAGGTTTGGGCCTGTTGGCCTCGGTGCATCCGGGTGTCAAATTTATTACCCTGTGGGGGTCCGACACTCGGATATTACCCTGTGGGGGTTGTGTGTTGTTGTTTGGTTGTTTGAGTTGTGTTTTCGTATTACCCCTTGGGGGTCGTATCTAGTTCTAGTTTGGAGTTTTTTTGTTCTAGCACTTGCTAGCCGGGTATCTAGGCGGTCTCATGACCTGTCCTCCCACTTTTCAGCCTTGGGCTGCTTGTATTTGCACATTTGTGCGATTTTTGTTATATAATATCATCTATCGTTTTGGGAAAAAAAAAGAATACTAAGGAGATGTAGCTCATCGGTCATATTTCTAAAGTGTTAAGAAATACGGGGTTCAATTCCCCGCATCTCCAAAATTATTTTTTTCTCCATTTACTTATTGGATTTTGAAGCCTCCAAAAAAAATCTTATCATCATCATCGTCGTCATCATCATCAGCTTCATCTTCAAAGCGTTCTCCCCACTTCAGTATCAGTGAAAGCTCCGTGGCCGAAAATGGCCCTCTCAACGGCCAAGCTAACCGAGCTGCCACCGCACCTGCTGTCTACATTCTCCATACCCCGCCGCAAACCTCCGCATTCCGCTTTCCGATTCTTCAAACCCTTGTCTTCTTCTCTCCGCTCCACCAACAACACACCCAAAACCCCGTCCAAAAACCCCGACGTAACCGAAACTTCTTCTTCCTGGATCAAAAAATGGCCTTCGCCTCCTCCGAAACCACCGCCGGCTCCGAAATCGAGCTCGAGAAAGCCCCGTCATCCTAAAACCCAAACAGCTCCGATGGGTACCACGGCTATCGATAGAATTGTGCTTCGGCCGGTTGAGGAATTTAGGTCTTGGCTGCGATGACGAAGGGGAAGAAGACGAAGAAGGAGGGCAGTCGGGAACANAGAAATAAATAAAAATATATAATTATGTATACTTATTCCAAATAAATAAAATAATACAAAAAGAAATAGTGCAAAATAAATAAATAATACATTATTTAATACTAATTTACCTTATTAAATTTTAATTAATTTTTTATATATTATATGAATATTTAATAAATAAATCAAGAAATTAAATAATTTATTAAATATATATGATAAAAAATATACATTACATAATAAAATAGTGCCAACCACCAATGTTATAGTGCCACGTAGGCTATGTGAAAAAATAATTAACTCCACATAGCTACGTGGCACTCCATAATATTTCTTTAACTTTTTTCAAATTGTGGAAGAGATGAAGACAGATCGTGGAGTAACCCAACGTGAAACGAAATGACCACTTGAAATAATAAGGATAAAAAGTGAACAGAAAATGCTGGACGATGGAGTTAGATTAGATAGTACAACATGAAATTATGAGTGCGTACACAGAGCACGTTTTAAACATTCTTGATGAATGATGTACGAGTGGCTATTCTTCAATTTCGATTTTTGGTACAACCATGATATTTTTCATTCAATTTCTTATTAAATTCAAAATTTGGACGAAAAAATAGAAAAGATAATACCATGAAATTTCCTGGTCTTCTAGGTAGGCGAAATTCATACGGTGTCGGTACTAATTAATGTTGGCTTATAAATGCAGACAACCTCTCTCGCCCAATAGCCGCATACCGATACATCTCTCTCTTATCATACAAATCACAACAAAAATAATGAAGAAGATGTTGAACACTCCTCAATATCTCATCTCCCTCCCCTGTCTCCTCCTCCTCCTCCTCTTCTCGTGCGCCGCCGCTCAAATCCCGATCCTCGACATGAACAATCAACCGCTGCAAACCGGCGTCCAATACCGCATCAGGTCGGCCACCTGGGGCGTCCGCGAAGGGGACCTCACCGCAGACCCCGACAACCTCGACACCTGCCCTCTCAACGTCGTCCTGGCCAACTCCGGGCCGGGCCTCCCTGTGACCTTCCACCTGGCCCAAGCCTCGGACGAGGCTTGGCTTCCCGTCCTCACCTCCACCGACCTCAACATCCAGTTCGTGAACACTTCGTGCAACGACGGTGGCGTCTGGGCGGCCCGAGTGGATCCCTTCCTCCGTGCGTTGGGCGTGAGCACGGGTGGCAGGCTGGGAGACGTGGACAGCCTGTTCCAGATCGAGATGCAAGGGGCATTCCACAAGCTCGTGTATTGCACCGGGATTTCCACGTTGCGCTTGTGTAGGGACCTCACCATCTTGGCTGGCCAGCGCCTGGGCGTGAACACCTACCCCTTTGACTCTCCCCCAGCGTTGATAGTGCTCTTCCAGCGAGTACTTGAAGCTGACGACGCCAACAAGATCAAGATGCCTACTGATAAATAAAATCAGGCGTGAGAAAAACTAAATGAGTATGGTTGCCACCTTGTCTATGTATGTACGTGTGTTTAAATATGTGTGAGGAATAAAATATGCGGTAACCGTGCAAGTTCCATCAATCAATGAAACGAATATGAACACTAACAAAATCAGGGGCGGATCTAGAAAAATAAATTGGGGGATAATTTTTTTTTAAAAAAAAAAATAAATTTGACATATACTTAACAACAAAGACATAAAGTTGTAATTTTGGAATTAAAAAAAAAATTGTAATAAAAAAATACATATTTTTCAAACATCGTTTCTATTAGAATTGTGCTCGACATCCTTTTAAGTCACCAAACCCATCAATGATTGATTCGGTACTAATAGATCTTGCAATTTTTCTTTCGATGAAGATAGTCAAAGAATTTAGAAAAAAATCATCTTCCATTTTACTTCCAAGTCTAGATTTAACAATACCCATAGCCGAGAATGCACACTCTATTATTGCCGTAGAACACAGTCATTTAATTGCTTTTCAGTACATATATACTTTTTTTGAATTAGGCTCAAGCAAAAGAGAAAACATGACATTCAACTTGATTAAACTCTAAATGGATCAAAAGGGAAGAAATAGATAATATCATAAATAAAATATAAACAAAAGTACTTACAAATATAATTTTCCGAGGAAGAAGATGAATGCTCAAATCTCAATTGATATTTTTTTTCCGGTTTGCTCACTGCTCGTCGAATCGCCCTCGCAATTTTCTCTCAAATTTTTTGTGGCCGAAAAGTCCCAGCTCGACAGTTTCGTTTGCCTTTTATGTGGTCTACTTTAATTATTTGTTTAATGGTATTAAGAATATTTAATTAAGTTAATTTATTATATTATATATGCTTGTTTGCCTTTTATGTGGTCTACTTTAATTATTTGTTTAATGGTATTAAGAGTAATTAATTAAGTTAATTAATTATATTATATATGCTTATTAAAGGAAAAGAAAAGTGGAAGTAGAATCGGCAATAGTGCGTCTCCAAAACGTGATTCTATTTCTATTTATTATATTATTTACTTTAATTCATAGTTTAAGAGGGACAAAATAATAAAATATGCATAATATTATACATTATATATACATAGTACTAAGAAATTGGTAAGGGGGGCATGGCACCCCTACCATATATGTAGGCCCGTCCCTGAACAAAAAAACTAAATGGTAACATAACAATTCATATTATAATGATTTAATACCAAGAATTGAGAGACATGTTAAACCTAGTAAAGTGCATGTGGCATGTGGTGACATAATTACTTTCTTCCACATGAATTCTTTACTAACTATAATTAATAATTAAGGCAAAATATGTAATTTCTGCCCTGTAACTCAGGGCCTGTGGCAAAACAGGACAGCTTCTTTTCCATTTTGCAAAAATGCCCTGGAACTTGTTAAAATGCGGAACCCGTGCCCAATTTTAGATCTGGTAACCTAAATGACCGGTAAGTGCTGACTCGATATTTTTTAGCCGACGTGGATGCTCGCGTGTCTGGAACCTCGATATAATCGACATAACACTCATTTTCAGTCCCAAATCAAATCCTTAAAACCTAAATCGACTCAGAAACCCTAACATTTTCCTTTTCAATCGATCGAAATTGATGTCTAAGATTACTGAAAATGTCGATTGTTCTTGCGGGTATAGAGTCGTGAGTCAAACTTCATGGAAGTATCCCAACTATGGAAGAAGATTTTTCTTCTGTTCTAACTGGAATGTAGTAAGTTTCGATTTTTTTCCCCAATTGTTCTAACTTTTCTCAATTTTTCTATTCAAGATATTATTTTTATGGCTTTGACAGGGGAAAGGATGTAACTACTTTGATTGGGCTGAGCCACCTATGTGTCATCGGTCTCAACAAATTATCCCAGGCTTACTGAACAGAGTGAATGAAAAAAGAAATGAAATCAAAATGATGCAAGTGGAAATTGAGAAGATGCAAGTCGAAATTACTAAGCTTTCTAATTTGATCGAAAAAAACAAGATTCTGAAAGCACAAGTCAACAATTTGAAAAAAGCGAAGAAAAGGTCAAAAATGTATTGTGTATTGTTGTTGGTACTTCTTATTTTCACTTTGTTGTTCTGCACTGGGGATAGAATGCCTCAAGGGACATGCATGAAAATGTTGGTTTGATGTGTAATGCTAGTAGTTGTAGTACTTATTTCAGGGTGTAATGGCTGTAGTACTTATTAAAGTTATGTTGGTTTGATGTGTACTACTTATTTTAGGGACATGCACTGTAATGGTTTGATGTGTGATGTTGAGTTTTGGATATCTTAAATTATTGTAAGAGATATCGAACTAATGTATTCATGTGTTTCAAGTTTAATGGAATGTGAAGGCCCTGTTGAATTTAACTTGTGTATTGTTATGTTTGTGTTTGATGTGTACTACTAAATTTTAAACCTATTGTAATGATGCTGTCACAATTACTCAACCATGTAAATAAATACACAAGAGCATTTTAAAAAGCAATAATTCTCATTCCCATTCATTGCCAAATACAAAAAGTTCAAAAGATACCAGTTATTGGCAATGCAAAGAGTTCACAAACACCAAAACCAGCTATTGCCAACAAAATCCACAATCTAAATCCACAATAAACACCAACAAGATCTGCCATTAAGTTCTCAAAAACAACAACCTGCTATTGCCAACCATCCATTACCAACAAAATCCAAAACCTATACATCAACATAAAAACTACACAGGATCATTTTTTTGCCTTGTCTTGCCGGTTGAGTACCATGAATTTCTTGCCCTGATCAACCACCACTACTGAAGCTGCAGAGACTGATGTTATGCTACTTCCTGCAGAGAATAATGGTCTTTCTCCAGTGAAAGCTGCAGGCCCTCGGATAATAGGTCCATGTGTAGCTCTTGATGGTTGTGGCATGTTGGTACCCATTAGTTGATCATACATTGATGGGCCTGGCACATGTGGCTGTGGAGTTGGCATAAACCGAGTCTGGGATTGTTGAGTGGGGATCTCTTGTGTGAAAACTGTTGGATTCAATGAGCTTGCTTGTTGGTTGAGGGAGTTGTTAACACCTACCTGCTGAAGTAACAAATTACCAAGTTATTAAAATTTTATGATTATTTTCAATTAAAACAATATTAAAGACACTTACAGTCATTAAGGTCCTTTTTCTTTTTCCACATGTAGTTGAATTATGTCCTGAAGTGCCACATTTCATGCAATTGAGAGATGTTTGCTGCCTCCTCATTCTGGTAAGATTTTTTGCTCTGAGCTTTGTTTTGTGTTTAGAAGAAGGCTCATCTGCCTCTCTTCTCCTTGCCTTTGGTGGTCTTCCTGCACCTCTTCCAAAGTTTGGTGGCATTGGGGGTACAAAATTTTGAGTGCCCCACAGAGCAACACCATTGATTGGATATATGGTGTGTTGGTATGCATTTAAGTACTTTTCAACCGTGTAACACTCAGACACAAAGTCCTCAATATGCTACTTCTGATAAAAAACAACACTAAGTGCATGGTTGCAAGGTATACTTGACAATGACCATGATCTGCATGTACAAGATTTGTCAATCAAATTCACACAGAATTGAGCACCATTGCTGCATCTGACTTCAAAGAGCCAATCATCTGCTTTCACTGGATAACAGTCAGCCACACCATTTGTATACTTCTCAACAATCTCTAATATTCTAGGACATAGAATCCCCTTCCATTTTCTTGCTCTATCCCTATTTTTTTGCATTCTTTCCATCAAATAACCTCTGAGCCATTCACACATTGTTATTATTGGCTCCTCTCTAGCTTCCAATATATTGGAATTGAAGGTCTCACAACAATTGTTCAGCAACATATCACACTTCACATCTTCCTTAAAGTGGGACCTTGACCACTGCTCTGGTAGTTTATCAGCTAACCACTCCCATGCAGCTTCATTCAAGTCTCTCAGCTGGGACATTTTTTGGCTAAACTCAGCCTTAGTTGTTGACATGGCAGCACTCCACAATGCATTTTTGAAAGCTATCCCTCTAAACCCAGCATTTTGGAAATTATTGCACAAGTGTCTAACACAATGCCTATGTTCAGCTAAAGGAAAGACATCTGCAACTGCTTGAATAAGTCCTTTCTGTTTGTCAGACATGATAATGAAGCCATTGCCCAACCCTATACACAAATCACTCTTCAGAATTGTCAAAAACCAGCCCCATGTTTCAGTGGTCTCACCACTCACAACAGCAAATGAGATAGGAAACAAATTGTTATTAGGGTCTACACTCACTGCTGTTAATAAGATACCTTTGTGTGGACCCTTTAGGTGACATCCATCTATTCCTATTATGTGTCTGCAGCCTGCCAAAAACCCTTTTTTCAATGCATTAAAGCAGATGTACAACCTATTAAACCTATTATCCCCATTAACATCATCACATGTTCCCAAAATAACAGTGGATCCAGGGTTAGATCTTCTCAACTCCTCAGTGTAATCCCACAGTTTAGAATACTGCTCATCTGAAGAACCCTGCAAAATTTTAAGAGCTCTTCTCTTCACTCTATAAGCTTGGTCTCTAGAAACACTGCATCTAAGTTGCTCCACAGTATCCTTTCTCCACCCTTTGACACTTCTGTTGGGATCAGACTTAAACTGTGACAAATACTTCTCAGTGAGCCAATTAGTCCTCACATTCTTAACTTTGAATGTAGTGGGACATGTGTGCTGCTCATGAATTTCTTTAATAAAGAAACTCTCTTCATTCTTAACTTTTAATAGATGCAACTTGAAGGGACAACTTTCCTCATAACACCTCACATACACTCTGCATGGATCACTTTTAGTGATCCTGACACTCCTCTTACAAGCCACACCATAAGATTGCACAGCCTTCTTGAATTCATTCCTGCTACTAAATAACATACCCAATTTAAAAATTGGGTCATAGACAGTAGCAGGATTAAAGATGGGTATGCTCTCTTCTTCTCCATCATCCGCTTCATTGAACTGAGGCTCATTATGAACTACATCTTCTTCATTGAAATCACTATCATCTGCATCTGGGATTTCATCAACAAATCTATCAAATATCCTATCATCATCACTACATTCTTCTTCCATCCCATAATCACTGTCATGCAAATCATCAGACACCTCATCACCTATTTCTCCCTCATTTTGAGTCATTTCATCAGCCTCATCATCAGTCATTTCATTAACAAATGCATCCACAAAGCCATCCACAGAATCTTCCCCACCCATAACTTCTTTTTCACCCTCATCTCCTTTTTCAACAACAACATCACACTTCACATCAACATATATATCTATCTGTTTTAGACCAACATGTTTAATAAACCAAGACCTCACTAATTCATCAGTGTTTAATGCCCTAAAACAATTATTCAGCAGCATGTAATGCATCCTATCAGACCCTTGTGGTACTACATAATCACTTAACCCCTTAAGTATAGCCATGTCCATATATACTTTTGACATCCACATAATCAAATGATATTTGAGACCCACCTCTATAGATTGCAAAGGGGTTGTGAAGAAACTTACCCCCATAATGTAGGTCAACAGTCAGCTGGTAGGATCCACGTTCTGCCACACAAAATAAAGTAACAAAATGCAATTAGAATAACACACAAACAGGGAGCACATTCATTTCAAAATGACAAGTCTTCTTCAGACGTTTCTTCAAACAAATAACCCCAGAATATACATATATATACATAATTTAAAAGAAATAGACTACATATTTCGAAAATAAAAATCGCACATTTACAATTTTTCATTAAAAATAACACACACACACACACTTACCGTAAGAAGGTGGATCGGTATCTGGTTTCCTCTTGGTTGGAGAATACAACATCTCCAAGTGACTACTAATTTGACTTCGCAATTTCGGTTTGAATGAAAAACTTCGCAATTTAGGGTTTCTGAGTCGATTTAGGTTTTTAAGGATTTGATTTGGGGCTGAAAATGAGTGTTATGTCGATTATATTGAGGTTTCAGACACGCGAGCATCCACGTTGGCTAAAAAATATCGAGTCAGCACTTACCGGTCATTTTAGGTTACCAGATCTAAAATTGGGCACGGGTTCCACATTTTAACAAGTTCCAGGGCATTTTTGCAAAATGGAAAAGAAGCTGTCCTGTTTTGCCACAGGCCCTGAGTTACAGGGCAGAAATTACAATTTTGCCTAATAATTAATTTATTAAACATGAAAAACATGAACATGTAATATAGTAAAAGTTTAAAACAGTTACTCAAAGCTTAAAACTTCTTTATACACTATATTTGCTTTATTTTTTCATGAGCATCTATGGTCTAGTTTCATTAAGGTCCTCTTCGAATTGCGTTTTTTATTTTCGTCTCGTATGTTTGCAAAAATGTTACAAAAGAATCATTTATGTTTTGCAAAAAAAAGTTCCAGTTTCGTCGAAAAGGACTGTTTTGTAACTTTTTTGCAAACATACGAGACGAAAATAAAAAACACAATTCGAAAAGGACCAAAAAAGTTAAGGTCATACAAGACTAACCTTACAATTTACTCTTATAATTAATTAATCAACAGATGGTACTTCAACATTCCAAAGCTCACAAGCTTTTAGTTTATTCCTCGTACAAACTTAAACCAACACACAGCACAAATAAACTGTACTGTTCAACATCCACGCATCCCTTATTAATACAATACAATAACATTCAACCTCGTCCGTTGACCTTTCACTCCTCCGCCCTACTCCCGGACAGTACGGTTCCCTTACCCGACTCCTCCTCCGCCCTCCTGAAAAAAACCGTCAACGGGACCTCGTCCGCCTGCGCCATCACCAGCCGCCTATAACGCCCGTCCCAATAGATGGTCAGGTCCCCGCACACGGGCCTGCACGTGGGGCAAACCGTCGGGCAGAATACGAGCTTATAGTTGCTACCTTGCGCCTCGATCTTGAACCAGTAGTTGAGCGTCCACCTGCCCGGGTTCCCGAGCTCCCCGCCCGTCGTGATGTAGAACCTCAGGATGGAGTTGTCGAACGCGAGCTTCCACACGTTGCTCGACACGCAGACGGTGACGGCGTCGAACTCGAAGTTGTGGTCGGTCGAGACGCGGACGATTTCGTCCGAGTAGTTGGCCGGGTGGAAGATCACTGGGAGGCCCCACACGAAGTCGTTTCGCGACTGGGTGACGTCGAGCGGACACGTGAGGTTGCGGACGTCGGACATGGTGAGCCCCCCGCCACCGGCGCCCCAGATGACGGATTTAATGTAATATGGGACGCCAGCCTGGACCTCCTGCCCATCTGTGTCGAGCACGGGGGCAGCTGCCTGGGCAGCTGCCTGATGTGAGAGTAGGGTGAGGAGGAGAATGGGAAAGAGGAGGAAATACTGAGTTATCTTTTTCATGATTATGGTTAGATATTAATTAGGATTATTATTTTTATTTTCTTTTTTTTCTTTTTTTTGATGAATTGTGGAGAGGAAGAGAGGAGCCCTTTTATAGAGAGGTAATCACTGTGATGCAATGTTCAACTTGCATACGAGGTTAGGAGATATCATTGTTATTATTGTTTAACATGTGTTGAAAAAGGTCATCCATCTTCTACAGCGAGAAGAAAGTGACGCTTGTATGTATGCAGTGTGCACATTAATGCACAAGATGGGAATATAGTGCCGCAGCGTCTATTATTGATCGGGTTACGTCCTTCTTTTGTATTATTATGTGAATATGATTGGTGGCCTGGTGCACGTGCCTGATGGCCGTGTTTTTTCTAACTCCGTCCATTATGGTTGTATTGATAATATTATGGTTCTATTTACACAGTCATTTTTTGTTACTAACTAATTTTTATATTCACGTATCTCTTCCATCAAGTAAATTGTAAAGACGGCCAAGGCGACTGTTAGTTATATAGTTATTGTACTGTGTGTTATAGTGTTAAAGTTATGTCTCAACCTAAGATAAACTCATCTTATATCTTTATATACGTGAACATACCTCTGTGTTAATACATAATATATGTTTTCTACATTCTTACCTGGTATCAGACTAAAGTTATGGTCAAACATAGGCTTGGTCGTTCGTCGCTCGTCTCCACCCACCGTTGACTCTCACCATCCGCGCCATCCTCTCCGGCTTTCTGAGGCGAGCCGTTGCGGGAAAAATCATCCCTATCGCCGCCTCGTCTCCGTCGCAACGCCGAAACCTTTGGCCGGCGCGTGAGGCCCACCACCACCTCCGTTCGCTACCCTTTTTCAGCCGCCGACTCCTGTCAACGTTGGCTATATGACAAAAATAAATTGACAGAAAATAAATTATACCGTTTTTCACCCAATAAAGTGCAAAAATAAATTATATAATAAGGTATATGACAGAAAAACGAAGATAATTGATAAAGTGCGAAACAAATTATGCGATAAATTATGCGACATACAAATAAAGATAACTTATAAAGTGCGAAATAATTATGCGACAAACGGACAAACATAATTGATAAACTGCGAAGTAGTTATGCGATAAACAATGGGAACAGAGAATATAATTGATGAAGTGCAAAATAGTTATATGATAAACTATGCGACTAAGATGCAAAAATAATTAATAAAGTGTGAAATTATAAATATATTTTAAAAGGTAATATATTTGTTACCAAAATTTATATATGATATATAACATTAATAATTTTGACGAAATTTGATTTGACATTCGTATTGCATATAGACATTTACCTTTATTATAATAAAACAAATTATCCATAAATATTAACTGAATAATAATAAATTTATATATCAATTGAATTAATTTATTTATCAGATATTCATTATATAAAATGAATATAAAAAATGAAACTAAACGGATAAATTATACAAATGATGATTGTCATTTTAAATATTAATAAAATACCTTTTTAAGAATGATTTGAAAATTAAAATAAAATAATATTTGTTTCTTTTAAATTTATGCATAAATTTTTTACTTGCATCTATATACTACGTGTGTGTTGTACCCTATTAATATTCTTTTATTTCATTTATAAACAGAAAAATATATACATAATTTAATTCTTTTTTTTTTTTACTAAGCGAAGGTCCTCCAGAACGTGACCCATTTAACATGTTTGGTGTTGGTGATTTTGGACTGTTGGTACCACCATGAATGAGAGTTTTCAAAACAAATAGAATAAAAAACAAACCGATGTCACATGCTGAATATTGAATGACATTTCCTCGTGAGTCCGTCCGGGACCTCGTACGCGCAAGTTGCCGCGGAGCCACATACCAACATACGGCTTCGCTTATATGCATTTAAGGTAGTGGTTTCAGACGCTTCACCCATAAACCAGACATGTAACATCTATATATATATATTTACATAATCATGGGCTATTTAATTAATTCTAATACGTAACCCGTGCGATGCACGAGATGTAAAATTTAGAAGAATAATATAACCTCACGTGCATTAGGATCGAAATTGAAATCATTAAAATACATAGGAACATTGTTGAATCATAAAAAGTTCGGTAACAATCATATATTGTTAAAAACCTCCTTGTACGCAACATTATGAGTTTGATTATTTGGTAACTCCTCATTATCACAAACTAATATTTTCAAAAGAGACAAATCCTAAAAATCAAACTAATATTTTTGGTGAACAAACTAATATTTTAGGATTTTTAGGATTTGTCTCTTTTTGGTGAACAAACTAATATTTTAGGATTGGTTATATGAATAAGGCTACCTGTTTTTTGTGTTCTTTTCATTCATTTTCATTCAAACAATCCGATAACTTGTATAATGAAATCCGAATCTTAAGCCGAAATATTTAACAAAAGAGTTTTTAAAAATTGAAAAGTCAAGACAATCAGTTCAGATTAATTAAAAGTTAAAGAATATCCGCTCCTTGAAATAAAAACGTGTGCTATCATTAACCAAATATCCGGTTATTGATATAGAGTGGTTACCAAAAAATAGAACGCGATAAGGACACTTCGTGGAAATATGAATGGGATAAGGTCATAACATATCGCTATACATTTTAACGATAAAAACTCAGATGGAATGATTTATGATAATTATGTCGTAATTAATGAATTAATTAAATGTGTGAAAAGGACATAATTAATGAGAAGTGTGAAAAAGGACATAATTAATTAGAAGTGTGAAAATGACATAATTAATGAGAAGTGTGAAAAGGACATAAAAGTTACCAATTTTGGAAAGTAATTAATGCAAAACTGACTTTGACCATTAATTAAGTTACTAATTTTGATAAATGTTAATTCTTATTATATAAGTATAGATGTGGGAGTTTTTGAATTCAAATCTGTGAAACTACTTTGAATTTAAAGTTCAGTCCCTCCTGAAAGTAATTTGGATAGTTGGAATTCAGTCCATACCTCTATAAATTATTTTCACTTAACTCCCCCAATAATTGATTTCAGACCTAGAAGAGATAGTCAATTTCTGGAGGAATTAGTTATTTATCTTGAGATCAAGAAAAAGATACATAACAATTTATCTACGATTTAACATGCTCAAGAGATAGGTTAAATTAATTTAGTGATTATATCTATTATTGGTAAAATCATATAAAGTTTGAATTAGTATAATTTTGTCATGAATTAATTACAAGAAAAGCATAACCAAGAATATACTCTCTAAATCATGCTTAGGCTATGCTTGGTAAAACTAGCCGATAAGCTAGCCGATAGCTGATAAGCTAGCTTATTATAACTTATATGTAATTTTTGAGCTTATAGCTGATAGTTTATGACTTATAGCTCAAAAGCTAGCTTATATGATAAAAGTGTTTGGTATAATTAGCAAATAAGCTAGCTGAAATAAAAAATTCAACTAGCTTATTTGAAAAACTACCTAAAGTAGCTTATGAGATAAGTTCGAGTTTTTTTAAAAAAGCTCGTTCTACCAAACAAGACTTAATTGAAACAGGAAGCTTATAAGCTACCCAAATAAACTATAAGTTAACTTATTTGGCTTACCAAATATAACCTTAATCATTAGTTTAGAAGGCTCTTCCAGTTATTAATTTAATTCATATTTTATTTGTTAGTTATAGTTAAATCATAATCCAAATTCGTACTAGTTTAAATAATATTTGATTGTGATTCTTTTTATAATCACCACTACCAACATCTACACAGTATACTTGCAGCTACACATTACACTTGTGCATACAGAATATTTTAACATAAATCTACGTGGAATACCACCTTTAACACCAATTTTCTTAAATACTGTCCGGACTAAAGTTGTGATTCGCCTGAACAAGACGCACTCTAATAAAATCAATAAATCATAGAAGTAAACAATATGAAAAAAGGAAGAATAAAAATGAAAAAGAAAAACAAATAGACACAAACATGCATCAGATATCGAGAGTAAGAGAAACACAAACTACAAAATAAAATGTACACATTTCACAGTGAGGTTTTTTGAACAAAAATATACACTTTCTCAATCAAATATCAAAGTAGCATAGACTTTCAAATGTATGATAATTCATGGAGAGATGAAAAACAAACTATAAAATTTAGATACTTCACAGGTAAAAGCTTCTATAATTAGATTTTCACTATCTGAAACCTACACCATTAACCTTCCAACTTCTAGTCGACTTAATATGCAAAATCTTCTTCAACAATGAGCCAATTCTTGCATTACAAAGAGCCTTCTTCCAACCAGCTCCTATCACTAAATCTTCGTGCATTATGTTTCTGTATTTGAGATTTTTAAGAACCCGTAATGAGTTAAAAATGTTAAGGGAATTCACAATCGCAGTCAACTATGAGAACCTTGACTATGTCACAACGTGAGACATGAATCCCGTTTGCTCAAAACTAAGTTCAGCCTCTTCTCTGCCATTAGCAATGCTGTAAATGTCACTGCAAATGGCTACAGTGCTTGAAGATACAGCCAAAAGTATCATAATCCAGGAGATTATTCTATCGTTTCTAGTTGCAATTCCACGAGTATCCCTGCACGAAGAACCAAGATTATATTAATACATCATTATCAAATTAACTAACAAAAACCTGAAGTTGTTTTCTGAGAAAATCAAGTAGGACTACCTACAGCATCATGCTATGTTTCTGTAGTTTGTCACACAGGATTTTCTGCACTTCATTAGGCAACATCAACTTCATGCATTTTGGTATTGTCCATTCATGAGTCTTGCTCAAAAGTAAAAATTTATTATTCTAGCATTCTTTAGATCTTCCAAAATTGTGATACTATTCTTTAATCACTTACGACTTCATATCCAAGAAAACAAACTCAATGGCTAAAATGATGTGAGAACAATTGTTTGAACAATTTTATTTACAGTTGGGGTGCATATAGAGTATTCAATTTCCATTCTCACCTGAGAGCAATTGCAGCAGGGAAAATGAAACCAACAGCAACAGTAGCAGTGGCACCAGTAAATTGGAAAGCATCCCATATGCTGGGCACAAAATTTGCTCCAAAGAAAATCAAACTCATTAGGGCTGCTGTTATTGAATAAAACCTTCGACCATCATAGATAATAGGGATGGCAAATGGGAAAAATATGCCATCAACATTCAGGCGAAGGGAGTAGAAGACGATCGGGAATACAAGCATCAAATGGATGGCATAGCTCACACGAACAATGTCGTTCAGCAGAGAGCTGAACTGAATGCCAAGATCTCCATCAAAATTTGCAAGGACATCATCCATTGTCTGCTTACCAAACAAGAGAAATCCAAAGAAGCTAGTTGCCACGTAAACACACGTGCATAAAGTAATTGATGTACGGACAATGGATTTCATTTGCAAGGGGTCGTCAAGCTCGTTCTCTATTGGGTGAACTAAGGATCAGGTTTAAGCAGAAGGAAAATATTGAGTCAGCAAGAAAGAACATGAGAAATAATGAAAGACAATTAANNAAGTAAGCTAATCCTGTAAAACACAAATTGACAGCAGGTTAAAGAAGATGATCATAGTGAAAAATCCACATAGCATATACATAGTCATTAAAAGGTACATCAAGAAAATTATGCCATTTTCGCAATTCCACACGAGAGATCTCATACATGATATTACAGACTTCTCAACTGAACTCCATTTTAACCACATGTCTAAAACAAAATGAGAGAATTTACACACCACCTTTGTGAATGAATATAAAAGAAGGTAGATATCAATAGATGAAACAACAGAGTTTCACTTTAAACCACACATCAACAATCTCCATAAGCAGAAAAGTATGTTTGACAGTTAAAAGAAAACTTACTGTTATGGTGACAAATATAGGCAGTGACAAGTATAGGAACAGTTGTAGAAAGTTTCCAGAAAGATGCTTGATCAACAAGGTCAGGCAGCAATTGAGGCCTTCCAATGCTTCCATTCACCATCTTGACAATAGCTATGCCTGCTATGATAACCACGAACAGAACAGCAAGTACAACTGACAGTGCTGAAGTGTATCGCAATGAATCTGGCACCTCAAGCCAAAAAAAGTTACAGTTAGGGTGCTATCTTCTTGCCTTATACATCACAAACCATTTCTTCTGAAAAATGCATACAGAAAAAAAAATAGAAAAGAAAAAAGGCTATCATTCTAAAGCCAGAAGTACCAACAAATAGTGAAGTGGATTTAATTCCATATTTCGGAAACAAAGATAAGAAAGTTGTTTAATATGAAACATTCAGTGCAAATTACTCGGTGAATTGTACCATGAAATCTAACCAAGCAAGATACACACTATTTTGCATCTAAACAATAATTCAGATATAACTTGTCAGAGAAATTCCAGACAATTCAATCTGTACCAACCCAAAAAGGAAGAACATCTGGATTCATCGATCAATAACCTGCCAAAACTGTATATAGCATTCAATCCATTTAAACAAAAAATAAAAATAATGCAATGAATAAAAGTGCTGCTTAGAGTAATACCGCACTAGCCAGATACGCGTTTACAATTTTGTGCTTCACCATTCATGCAGCAGTTGCAGTAAAATTTTACAAGCTAGATCCCGATTTGTTAGTTTACATTTTTTTGCTTTCAAGATTAGGACCTTCTCTAACAGGTTAACTTTCTTCAGCAATCAAATAACATGTTTGGTATGCTGATCCAAAATGATACTTCAAGGAATAAATGAAAATAATAATCCAGACTTTTTGGGGCAAATGTAATTCAACCCATTAACAAGTTATAAGTGCTAGAAAAACAACTGGAAAACTTTAAATTAGTTTCAAAGAAACAATCTATCTCACTCTCTCAAGTTAGTATCAAAAGCTCAAGAAAATGGGGTTTGATGAATTATTCTCACCAACACGCTTGAACGAAATCAAAGGCGCAAAAACAAAGACGGTTGTAAGGAACAATATGGAAGATCGAGTGGTCCACCAGTTAAGACCAAACCATTCTTCCATCACACCAGTGTGGTGCACCCCTTGTGACCATGTTTCAGACAGCACATCACCTGTACATATAGAATGCATAAGAAACAAACAGTACAATTAACCAATAATTTAAAAGGCCAACCACCAAAAACACAAATGCTAAATAACTACCACCACATTTCATCCATATCCTCAAATTACCGGATACAATGAAACAAAAAATGAAGTTTTCTTTGCATAGAAAGAGCAATATAGCTTCCGTGAGTCGTGACCCACCAGAAAAATGAAATTTCTTTATAACAAATGGAAAATTGAATCCAGAACACAACCAATAATCAAATGTTGTTTCCTCGAATCAATCCCAAACACACCCAAAATCGCTCAATAACAAAAGTAACCCAAATCTAGATTTATAAAACAAAGAAGGGGCCGGGAGCATTAAACTAGACAATTAACAAAATTTACCTATAATAATCATGTAAACGACAAGCATTCCAACATTATTTATCACGATACACAGCTGCAGAAGGTTCCGGCCGGCGCCGGAGAACGCGTCCGCCGCCAAACCGGAGTAGGAACTGGTCTTGGCGGCCTTACTGAAGCGGAGGATCATCTCTATTGATTTCTCCGTCAGCATCCCGCCCAAAATGATCGTGATAAGCCCCGGAATCACCCCAAGCTGCTTGAGGGTCGCCGGTAGGGCCATTATTCCGGCACCGACGATGGTGGTGGATAGATTAAACACTGCACCGGCGAAGGAAGCCCCCCCAAACTCGCCGCCGCCGCCGTTATGATCCTTAGGGAGAAGTGGGGCCGCCCTCTGGGGCCGCCTGTATTTTCGATCGGAGGAGGGCATTTTTGTGATTATTAGCGATCGGATTTCGAGATGGAGGTGTCTTTGTTTACGCCGTTTGTGCAGACGTGTGTGCGTTTTTATTTAGAGCTAGGCGGGAACCATACGGTGTTCCTCAATGAGCCAGCCAATCACATTTTGACACGTAGGATTTTTTTCCCCACCCCACAGGTGACGTCTGTCTGTTCATCAGAAGAAAGTGTACCGTTATGAATATTGTAAGAAAATTAGTTACTATGCGGTCGTTTTCTTTTAGTTATTATCTGTCGATAATATATTATTAATTTAATTCTATATAATACTATTTGCTTTAGCTTATTATATTCAGAAATAAAAAATAAAATAATCTATATCAAACTTATATTAAAGGAGTTACTATTTACCAAATTAAGTAGTTAGAAAAGTCAACAGCATTTATTGCATTACTATTTCCGTATTATATTATATAAAAGGATATTCTATTTACTACATTTATTATCCAGAAAAGTCAACTGCATTAAATGTCATTACTATTTTGGTATTATAATATTTTATTTATTTAATTGATTTATTTATTTTTTTTTATTTTAAGAAGGTAAGTATAATAAAAAGATTTTAATAATAAAAAAATTAAATACGAAATAAAAATGTACACTTTGACTTATTTGATTATATTTGGTATTTGATTATACCAAATATATTCCTATTTAGTATATACATTAAATACTTACTAAAGTATTTATTTATTTTATTTGTCAAAGTTAAGTAAAGATTTGTTTATATTATCAAATCATAAAAAATATTAAATCCATATTGTAAAAAAAAATTCATATAATTTTATAACAATTCTACTACACTATTTAACAATATTCCTTTTTTATTATATAATAAAATAATAATTAAATATTATATGGTGAACAACAATAAGTAAAACTGTTACTTTCTCTTATATCAAGGGATAAATTTATATGCTAAAATTAAATTTTTATTAGTATAAATATTTTAGTGAGATAATATATTAATTATTTTACAAGCTAGCCCTAACATGCTCATACTTAATGTTTTAAAAGATGTAGAAAAAAAACTTATAATAACTCTATTGTTTTTTAGACTTAAACGTTGATTAAAAGAGTTAAAAAATTTCTAATTTTTTAGACTTAAACGTTGATTAACACCATAGATTGAGAGTTTATATTTAGTAAAATTCCTAATTGTAATAAAAAAAATTAATTTTTGCTATATTTCAGAATATCTTGAAATTCATTATAAAAAAAAAAAGAAAAAAAAAACTACAATGAAAAAAACAAGTCAGTTATATACCGATTTGTTGTACTCCTCAAATCACATTCACAATTTGGCTACAAGGAAATGAAACTCATTGATTAAAATATTATTTTGTCAGTAGTCTTAATGTACAAGAGACTTTAAGACTCCACTTGAATATTATAAAATTTTCATTGAACATCGTACAATTTCTTGCGTATTATAAACTTTTATTGAATATTGCATCTTATAATACAATATTCTCCAAATAAATATATCTCGCGGGTCACGTACTATATATATTCCGTATATTTTTCTTTATTCATGTATATAATTATAAGTCTGGATAAATAGCCTTAAAATTGTGCATCCCGTGCATCGCACGGGCTCTGTACTAGTATATATAATAAGAATTACCATTTACTAAAAATAGTAGCTAAAAATTTAGGAAACATTTAATGCATGCCATTTTTTGAAACTTTTTAAATATATACATTAATTGCTTACATATACACGTTTTCAAATAAGATATGATCAAAAAATTAAATAAATTTATTAATATCTGCAATATTTTCATTGATATTTATTATAATAAATTACAAGATTGATTTTCATGATCCATGTTGATAATTTTTTGGTCAAGATAAATATTATTTTGTTAATATTTGTAATACTTTCATTGATATTCATTATAATAAATTACAAGATTGATTTCCATGATCCATGTTGATAATATTTTGGTCAAGATAAATATTATACCATATTTTAAGTTCTAACTATAATATAATTTTTCTTTTTTCACAAATATTCACTTTATATACAAAAATATTTATGGAAAATCGTACATGTTAGATAGAATTGTTTTTCCAAGTAATCTGACAAAATCAAGTTGGTGAATTAATCTTTGCCAATATATTGCTTTATTTTGTTAAATATAAAAACTAAATTGTTCTTCAAATTAATATAATTTACCATTTAAGAGATAATGACCATATACATTAAATAGTTTTACTAATGGTAAAAAATTAAAATTGAAATATATTAACTATTTTGTAGAATTTATTTGTATATTATTGGCACCCATTTTTTTATTTTGATTTATTTCTATAATTAAATTCTTATAAAATAAATTTTCATTGCAGAGTATGTTAAATAAACTATAAATCCTTATAATGCGAATTAGAAAAATCTTGATCGTAGAAGAGTTTGAGTTTTTGGAATTTTTTAAATCAAATTTATTTAATTAGTATACAAAATTAAATTCTAAAAAAACATGTGTATATTTTGTAAAATATTTGCACACTATTTAATTTTAAATTTATTTACATATTTTAAATTGATTACATAACTAAATAATACTAATGTGCATTAAATATTTTTCATTACATAAATAAAAAGAAAAAGAAGACGTACAGCTTCCATAACTTTATAAATAATAGTGACATTATATGACAACAAAGTTTATACTAAAATAATAATTAAGTATTATATGGTGAACAAGAATAAGTAAAATTGTTATTCTCTCTTGTATCAAGGAATAAATATATATATACTAAAATTAAATTTATATTAGTATAAATGTATTAGTGAGATAATATATTAATTATTTCACTACACTTAACGTTCATTAAGAGAGGTGGGAAATATATGATAACACTATTGCTTTATATATTTAAACGGACAAAGACTGTAAAAATAACTCATTTAATATGGATGTCCGTGCAGACGTACTAGTATTAATTAAAACGCATTGTATATTAAATATTCGAAAATGAGCTGCAAGATGGTGAAGCATAATTATATAAATAAATAAATCGTAACGTGCATCCAATGAAAAAGGTTAGTAAATGTGAAGACCATAATTAAATAAGGAAAGGGTTTTTTCATTCATATGCCAAGAGGCTGATTCTATAAATTTGCATTTTGCTCCCCCCACAAAAACCATAAATACTTTTAGGTATTTCAGTTAAACTAGTGTGTACCCCGTGCGATGCACGGGAACAATATTAAATTAACAATATTATAAATAGACCTCGAGTTTGAGTCACTCAATGGCGGAAGTGGAAACTACTATTGATCCTATTTCAAAAGAGGAAGAAAAAAATTAATTATAAATTAAAGAGGAGGATAAAAAATACTTAATAATTATAAATTAAAGATTCGGGGTCAAACAATGTAAAATTATTTTGTATAAGAGAATATAAAAAAATTTGATCACACACAATTTCAAAATTATTATTATACTTTTTTGTATGGTTAACTTATAATATTTGTAAAAATATTAGTAATTAGACCGATGAAAATTAGTTTCTTAAGGTAGATAATGAATTTCTAGTAGTAATTATGAATTGGTTTCTATTTTATTTTATTTTTTTCAAATCTCTATAGATAAGGGATGAGACGTGAGACTTATGCAATAAGATTTTGTAACAAAAGAGATAAGCTCGTGTAGATTTATACTAAAAATAGGAAAAAGTAAAACAAATATTTATTGTCAAACAACGGTTTTGATAAACTAAAAAACAGGAAAAAAAGAAACAAATCTTTACACAATTAAAACAAATATTTATTGTCAAACAACGGTTTTGATAAACTAAAAAACAGGAAAAAAAGAAACAAATCTTTACACAATTAATGAACCGATTTTTTTTTCCTATTCAGGTTTGTCCAACAATTACTATATGTAGGATATATTTAATGATTTTGGTGGGAAAAAGTTTCTAAATTTGTAAAAAGATTATTTTTTTTATATAATGATAGATGGTAAATACAATATATTTATATATTCACGTTTATATGAGTTAATAGTACGATACTCGAATATATACTTAAATATACTAATATTTGTCTAGTAAAAAGTTAAAATAATTTATATTTTTTTGTAAAATTGTGTATATGAATATACAATAATAATAAATAACTACTAAAATGATAATTAGTTCAAAATGGCGCCCATATTTTTACACTAAATTTGTCAAAAATGAATTTTTTTAAATTTTTTTAATAACTGCATTTGTGTAAAATAGATATCATTTACAAGTCCTTTTATTTGATTCGAATTTGTTTAAAGCAAAACAAGTTTTATTGCTTTGTGATTATATTTTACATTTATAGAGTATGTCTTTCTCATTTATTAATTTTTTAGGTATTTTAAATTTATATAATTTAGAAATTTAGGATATTAATTTATACAGAAATGTATTATTTTCTAAATTTATGTAACGTAAAATTATTTTATTACCTTTAATTATGATATTTCTTTATATTATTATTTTGAACAACATAATAAAATTTAGTTCCTTCTATAATCCACTTAAAATCGAGAAAGAATATTTTCTAAAACTTTTTATAATTTATTACATGTAATACTTAATTTACATTTTTTTCCAAAATCGATGAAAAAACACATTAATTTGGTTATTTTATGGTGTATTGATGAATTATATTTTTATTATTTTTATAAAATATTTTATACTGTCATTTGGTTTTTTTATATTGATTTGATGATAAAATTAGTTTTATTTACAAAGATAGATGAAATTATTTTTTAAACTATATATGCAGTATGGATGTCAAATCGAATATCGTTAAAATATGATTATTTTGATATATTATATGTAAAAAATAAAATATAAATAAAAAAGTTATGAAATTTTAAAAATAAAAAAGAATACTAACATATGATGATTAACGTATTAATTAATTAATAAAATATAAGAGCAGTATATGGTAATTTAAGAAAAAAAAAAGAAAACTAAATTAATTTATAGTAATTATCAAGCGTAATAGTCAAAATCAAACATGTACAAATGTC